GGTACTCTTTCTCCCCTGCTTGTAGGAAACTCGATTGGGAGTCTAATAAACCCTGTAGGCACTTTCCTTCCCCTTCTCTGCTTTCTCTGAGATGTTGTATTTGTCAAAATCCTTGAATGCTCATCTCATTTAATTTGGAATTGAAAAGAAATTATTTCTTTTATAACTGTAAAATGTGAAACTATCCTCTCCTAGTATGCTTCAAAGAAGCTGGTTTGAGAGTTACTATCTTTTAAAATTCTGAAAAATCCAAATGTAACTAGAACATTTCTACATATGCTGCTTTGATTTACTTTAATCCCATTTCAAAAACTTTCTGGTTCTTTCCAGTATCTGTACTGATTTTTGTATACTTTTTATAGAAAGTTGAAGACGACACGATGCCGATCCGTCGCTCGGTGAATTCTTCTTCCCGGGAAACTCCTCCCAAAAGCAAACCTGCTGATGGTGAAGAGGTCAAAGCGGGTACGGTAATAGTTCTATAGTGGATTGTTAATGTATATCCCAACATAAGCTTGTGTTCTGAAACTCCTGAAAAAACCTTACTGCCGTGATTAAAATACTACTAATGCTTAGCTTCTTTTCACAGGCTTTTCCTGGATTATTGGGAAGTTGTATTTTGCAGCTACTTTTTTCAGTCTGAACCCATTTGTTTTGTCCTTCATACCCCATGGCAAAGCCCTGATGCTCCAGACAGGAAAATATAACTAAATATAGTCCCTTTTAAGCTTGCACATTCTTTAGAATAAAGGTAGAAATTGTGAAGTTTCAGTAGTGTCAGGAAGATGGCTTGAGATCGAAAGGTGGAGTTAATGAGTGGAAAAACAAAGTATTTAATTTTTTTTCTTTCTTTTCCTGAACAAAAGGATTTTACTACCATGTGTCATAAAATCTAGTCCAATATTAATGTGTCCGGTCTTAGCAGCTTCCCCTCAGTTTCTCAGAACGCGTCATTTCAGTATCGTATTCGGTTAGTTTCACTGACTTTGTCCTCTTTGGTGTCACAAATAAATAAATTACATACGAAACTAACTATTAATACACTGCATATTTTAAATGCATGATGCCTCCATGGGAAAGCTATGCACAGGAACGTAGCAGGAGTGCTTAAGCTCCTTCTCGGAGACAGAGAACACGTCTACTGCATGGAGCAGTCGCGGTAGACAGCTCTTTATCCAAAAAGTGGGTAATGGCAGTTTATATACATCTTACCTAGCAGGCAGCCCAGTCCCTAAGCTATTCTCAGCTACATATGCTGGAGTTAATTTGCTTGGTAAGCTCATTTCTGACTAGATTTAATCCTACTGATAGACAAGTGGTTCTGCAAATGCATGTGCAGTCTAAAGCTTTGCCAGGTCTGGAAAAATGTGATTGAATGGTTAAAATCCTTCAGGTGCCACAGTGTGTGGTGCAGAAACAGCGGTGTTTGAAGACAAGTTGGTCGTAAACAAAGCTGCTTGTATGCATCTATCCAAATTTCTTGTAGAGGTGCATGTTGTTGCACCTTTCTGAGTTAAAAACACATAAACCTCAACCTAGGGGAAAATCTTAGTGTTTCATGGTACTGATTTCCTCCTCCCTTCCCCACCCAGGCCTCTCTGATGAGGGGTGATTGCAACAGTAACTTCTGGAGTTAAGAGAAGACTGGGGGAATTAGCTCATTGTGAAAATGCTACATGATGATGTTTGAAGTTACTCTGGCATTTGATGGCTGATTGCACCTTACTGAAGCTCTTTTCAGTAGTTCTGTTCACTTCTTCAGTTACATTCAAATCGTCTGTTTAAATTAGAGAAAAGAAATTGTCTGGTGGGAAATAATTTTTGGGGGGGTGTTCTTAAGCTTTTTTTTTTCCTCTGCCTTCCTGAAGAATAGAGGCTAGTTTTAGGCAGTAACTTGATGCGTTTTCACATGTTAGATGCAGAAGTCACCTCTGAGGAATCTGCCTCTGTTGGAGAAGAACAAGAGAATGAAACCCTGCCTGCTGCATCCAGTGAAGCAGAACAGCCAAAGGAACCTGAGAATGAAGGGAAAGGGGAAGCAAAGTCCTCAGAAGAAACCAAAAAGGAGTAAGGCTTGCTTAGTGCTGAATTCAGGGGTTTGGGTAGGATTCTGAAGAAAGTCAGGTTTTCTAATAGAAACACCAAAATGTTCTTTAAATTATTTTCAATGTCAGATGTTCTGGGCTTTTTTGTTGTTGTTGTTCTGCTTGTTGGCTTGTTTTACAGTGTCTTTTGTCTTACTATTGCTTTGTATTTTTCCTAAGCGAGAAGGATCAGTCTAAGGAAAAGGAGAAGAAGGTGAAAAAGACCATTCCTGCATGGGCTACTCTTTCTGCTAGCCAGCTAGCTAGAGCACAGAAGCAAACTCAGATGGCTGCCACCTCACGTCCCAAAATGGATGCTATTTTAACTGAGGCCATCAGGGTAAGCAGGAGACAAATGTTTCTTTTGTTCATCTGTCGCAAAGCAGAATAATTTGTGTGCCTAAAATCCACAGTTTCAGCTTGCTGATGGTACGGATGATAGTGCTGTCTGTTAGCAGGAAACTTACGGTGTAAGACATGTATGCTTCTGCCTGAAAGCCCATGGAGCTGAAATGTAAGTCCATGATGATGATGGGGGCCCTGTAGCTGATTTCCTTGTTTAGAATTTGTTTCCCTCCATAATTACATTATTAGAAACAGCTAGGATGACATAACCTGGTTGATTGCTGTCGTCATTTCACTTGGTGTGCCTTCTAGCCATATTTAACTTGATTTACCTTGATTAATCCATCTGTTTGATACGTGCTTGTTTTCAGCATTAACTTATTCTAATTCAGGACAGAGGGAAATACTGTAAACTAGCATTCCAAAGTGGTGCTGGTCTTGGTTTACTGTATCCCTCCTGGTTGTAAGAAGAGACCTGTGCTGTTGTAGTTGGATGAGGCTGGTGGAGTCCAGGCCTCCTGTGAAGGCAACGTGCGTGAACCAAGCCTCAAGGGGAGAGCAGCAGCACAACTGATGACAGCAATCATGAGCAACATCACTAGTAGACTAGTTTACTAATGTCAATCCTCCAACTTTAAAAAAAAAAAAAAATGCCAACTTGTTCTGACTTAATGATTACTCTATCTGACATTAGTAAAATGACTTACCAGTTGTGCAGCATTGGTTTGCCAAGAGGTGACTGTATTTCGTAGCAGCATGTAGTGTTTATGCCATGACTTGTAAGTGCTTCAGAATACGGGAGCAGTTGATATGCGCTTGCTGTACTGCTTTTGTGTTGTCTGCCCTTCAGCCACACTGAAGGGGAAAGTTAAGTATTTTGTTAGTCATATTTTATACTCTTGAGTCATTGTGGGGAAAAGGCCAGCCCTGGCACCCTGCACCGATGTGCTGGCCTGCATGCATCAGTTCAATCTCTGTTTTTCCAGACCCACAGCAAGATAATTGCAGTGCAGGTGGTTTCTGCTAACTTTTTGCTTCTGTTTCAGGCGTGCTTTCAAAAGAGTGGTGCATCGGTTGTTGCAATACGTAAATACATCATCCACAAATACCCTTCCCTGGAGCTTGAGAGGAGAGGCTATCTTCTAAAGCAAGCATTGAAAAGGGAGCTGGAGAGAGGAATCATTAGACAGGTAAGAGTCGCTTTGCGGAGCAGCACTGGAGGTGGTGTTACTCAATTACATAGGAGTTTCTTAAACTGCGTTAGCAGGTGTCTGGGGTGGTCATGTTCTCCCTCATGGAGGTTAATTAACCTCTGTCTCCACTTTGTTAGACACTGACAGGATTTCAGCATTGTTCTGTCAATCAGATACTTTGCATGGTTGTCTTTTGTGCAATTTATGACCGTTTCTTGGTGTTGTGTAATATAGCATTGCAGCAGCATGTGTCTTCAAACTGAGCCTAACAACCTCACTTCTGCAGCAGCATGTTTCTTTTAACACTGTAATTTATGCCTGTGATATCTGTTAGGGTCTCCTGGTCAGGACATCAGAGTATGTTATTAATGTCTGGCTGTGGTTTCTGATCTTAGTGACATGTCAGTGGGTTCAAATCAGGCCTCTGTCATAACAGCCCATCGCCAGGGTGACAGTGCATTCAGAATCTGCATAATGATGTCACTTAGTCTCTTTCAGGTTCTTACTATTCTGAGTTACTTTGTTAAAGACTGAAATGGACTTTCTTTCGAACTAGGTGAAAGGAAAGGGAGCTTCTGGGAGCTTTGTGGTGGTGCCTAATGCAGGAAAAACTGTTCCAAAAGCCAGAGACAGAAAGGTAAGATGGATCATTTTAAACAACACTCTGAAAAATCTTGCACTGAAAGACATGTATCTTACGAAATGCAGCCTAACCCCAACCCAAACAGTATTCTCCTCCTTGCTGTACTTTTCCTCCCCAAGTACAGTAATTAAAACACCCGTTCCACTAAAATCAGAATCAGAAAGCTAGTATGAGAAATTTAAAATGAAGTAGAATAATCAAAATCTTAGTTTTAAAATGTTTACATTAAACCCCTAGGCTTTGGTTCAGAGGCAGAAAACTGAATAACCATGAAGCTCCTCTTCTGTCTTTACCTGGTAGAGAGAGATGCCTCTCAGGTATTGTAAGAGAGCTTTATGCTACTGCTGTTTCTGTTATATCTGTTGCATGGATAAATGGAAGACTTCAGTCTTCAGGACTGTCAGATGAACATTTTTCCATCAGCTGTGAGGGCAGAGGGAGGAAGAAGAAAATATCCTAAGGCTTCTGGAAGAAAGCTGCTAATGTTGGGTGTATATTGTTCTGAGGTAGTAAAATGTGATGTGGTTTTTTTGAGCCTAGTCCTCACAATTAGTCATGGTTCCAGCACCTCTGTTCTCCACTCCCTGCTGCGCTGAGTGTATGAAACACATTTCTAACACCGCAGTTACAAAATGCTTAGATGGGTTTGCCGATCCCCTCGCATCTTAGATGGGTGAACCCAGGAGAGAGTATTGTAACGCCTTGGTGCTTATCTCTTGGCTACTGGGGAGACCAAAAGTCCCAAAACTGAAGGAAACAGTGACACACTTGGTACTAGGGCACTGAAGTAAACTAATTGCAGTGAACTTCTTTTTAAATAGAGCTCACTGGCTCCACGAGAAGTTTGAGCAAGGCACCTGATAACTGCCAAGGCATCACTTTTCTTGTCGGCAGCATATCGGTGTCTTTGTTCCTAGTTACTTTCTCTGTGTTGCAGCAAAACAAATAGTTTGCTTTTGTTTTCGGTGAATTCAGCTAGCAGTCGAGCAGCTGTCTGGGTGAGCAGCACCCTCACCTGTTTGACTGTTTGCAAAGCTGCTGTTCAGCATCAAAATCATTAAACTTCAGCACATTTCCCCACTATCTTTTCTGTATAAAGAACAGACTATTTTTTTCCTGATCTTCCCCTCCCCGTAGTAACAAAGGGATGGAGGAAAATTCAGAAGGGAGCGTTGGCTTCAGTCAAGACTTCATTCTGTCATCTGAAAAAAAATGCACTCCTGTTTAGCTGTTCATTTTTGGGAAGATTTGACCTGTGTAAAGAGGCCTTGCCTTTGGTTTTTGTGTTTCATGTTAGCGTGAATCATTTTCACCTGTCTCATTGAAGGGTAGCAGAGGAAAATGTCTATAGAAAGAGGAAGGAAACCATTAAAAATACAGATATTGTTAAATACTCAACAATTTGTATTTGTAAAACTTTCCTAAGCCTCCTATGAAAATTCCAGCCAAATTTGCTCGATTTTACTTAAACTGCTAAACTTTTAAAATTGTTAATGTAAAGAACTGCCTTACTTACAGAACTTGATTTTCCAGATCTGTGGCCAGTGTCAGGAGCACTTCTCCGCACCTGTGCATTGCTGGCTCAGAAAACTCAGAGTTTTAGGCCCCACTGATGCGTAAAAGTATGTGTATTTCAGAAAAGCACTTCCGCTTCGACTGCAGAGCAACAAGTCAAGCTGGAAGATATCCTGCCGCTGGCTTTCACCCGCCTTTGTGAGCCGAAGGAAGCTTCTTACAGCCTGATCAAGAAATACGTGTCTCAGTATTACCCCAAACTCAAAGTAGATATAAGGTAGGTGCAGGAGTACACTTTTGCAAGCAGAGCTGCAGAGGAGCAGTGAAATGCAGCCTTCCTCTGGCTTTGCCTCACTTCACGGTGATTCGATTCAGTATTTCAGCAGGCAGCAGACAGGTGGTGCTCTGCGTTGTAGAGCCTGCAGGAAAGCTTGAGGAAAAGCTGTGCCTTTTTCTGCATCCCTCCACACCCAATCTTTGTTCCTGACGCCGACATCAGCATTGCTCTACGCACCTCCGCCCTTAACCAAAACCAGACCCCTTTAGCTGCGTGGATGTGAAGGCCTCTCCTTGGGATCTTGTCCAGCTTGGTTCTGGATGCTTTAGCTGGCACATGCTTACAGTAATCTTTAAGTTTGCCCGTACGGAGCCGGTCAAGGCTTGGGGAGGAAGCAAATCTAGGAAAACCCTGTGGGTCACCTCTTACAGGGGCTTGCTACTCAGTCCCTTGTTTGTCTTTGAGCTGACTGACTCATTGCCCACCGAGTCCAAATGTGCTTTTCAAAATGAGTAAATCCTTCCAAGTGAAGCTTGTCTGTTTTTGGATATGCAGTGACACCAAGAAAGCGTTGCAGTTGAATTTCCGCTAAGGTACATTGTTCTTCTCATGTAATCAGCACTTGCTGACAGATCTCCATTTAAAATGTCTCTATGTAGGCAGATACCACTTGTAAGTACTGCTCTGCTCACACTCTGTATAAAGCGTTGTTTCTCTGTTTGTTTTTTAAGCTGTCAGTGTGTGTCAGTAAAGCTTTATCCTCCTGTATTTCAGACCCCAGCTGTTGAAGAATGCCCTGCAGAGAGCTGTAGAGAAGGGCCAGTTAGAGCAGATCACAGGGAAGGGAGCGTCTGGGACATTCCAGGTCAGAGCCAGAGTTCATCTTGTTTTGTTGACTGTACTGACCACAAGCCTTGGATATAAGTTAACGCGCCCTTTCCCTCCCCCCAGTTTCACTGGGTACGCCTTTCTTTAGCAGCCTGTCATATTCAGGAGTTGTCAAACTATGAAGCAGTAGGACTCTTATTCTCCTCTTGGTCTACATTTCTGGAGCAGACCCCCCTGCCTTCCTTGCTTAGCGTGCTCCACACGCTGCTTCAGCTCTGACTCACTAGCACAGTAGGGGAGATGGTGGGGTAAGCTTTCCTTTCCATCACTAATTGTAAGTGCAGTAGGTACCCCATATGTCTGCAACGTCTTTTTCTCATGTCTATGCCACAGAAGTCTCTTGGCTACATTTGGTCTGTGGGATGGAGGAAGATCTGATTGAATTGCTTCCCTGAGTGATAGGCCCTTAGATTGCCACATCCTTGCAGTGTATTTGGGGACTAGGACAATGTGTTACCGATAAAAAGCACTCCAGGCCAGTTGACTGAATAGGCCTGTCCTCCCAATTAAAGCTGGGAGAGCAGCATTCCCTGTGCGGTGTTTTAATATAAAACGTATCTGTGCTAATGCAGGAGCGCCGACCCACCTGGTGCAGAGGAGCTTGTCCTGACCTGGTTTGGGAGAATTTTGTCTTGATGCTTTTCTCTTCCTCCTTGGAAAATAGCTGAAGAAATCAGGGGAGAAGCCCCTGCTGGGTGGGACTCTGATGGAAGACGCCATCCTGTCTGCTATTGCGGCCATGAACGAACCGAAGACCTGCTCCACCACAGCGCTGAAGAAGTATATCCTGGAAAACCACCCAGGGACCAACTCCAACTTCCAGGGTAAAGTACCAATCTGTGTAACGCTTCTCTTCCACATGCTGAGAGAGTCCTGCAGCTGCAGATGTGTCTGTGCAGCACCTTTAAACTATTCCGTTGAGCTTGCTGGAGAACTGACAGCTGCTCAGCTTTTTGTGCTGCAGAGATGCTCAGTGTTTTTAATTCCCATTAGTTCCTTTCAAGCCTGACAAAGGCTAGTTTCTGAGACATAATGCATGTTTCTCTTGTCTATAGCATGTTCCCAGAAAGGGGGAAGAGTATTCAAGTACTTTATTGTTCTTAAATCACCAAGTTGATTTAATCTGTCTCTCTGTATTTTGAAAGGCTACAGCTTGGCATAAATGCAGTTCCTAGTTGCTTTTTATTTAGAGAAGTTGCATAGTCTCTCACTTTTAAAAAAATTCACAAGCACCCCTCTTACTGATTTGTTTGAGGTCCTTCTTTGGCTCTGATTTTAAAAGGTCAAGCAAGTGAGGAGAGAAACTAATCCTGTTGTATTTGGGAAGGCATTTGGCATGTCTTTGTTCGCAGGAATGACACTAATGTCTGTTTTGACTTTTGCATTAGCAGAAGCAATACTAACAGAGACTTTAAAGCAGATCTTCTAATGGCTTATTTGCATTATTTGGCTTGAGGCCCAATGCAGTTGTTTAACTGAGGCTGGAGGTCATTTGAAGCAGGATGAGCTCGCAGCAGTCTCTACTAGAGTCAAACCTAAAAGTAGATCGGTTTGTTACTGTGGTGTCACAGTGCTGGTGCCATTCCTCAGGACACGGGGCCAGAGAGGAGATTGCTGATCCCGCACTCTTCACCTGGAGCTGAAGCACGGCATCAGCACGGCTGTTTGATGCAGGGCTTATCAACATACGGACGAGCGCAGGTTCCCTCGCAGCAGTGTGGGCTAAAGAAGTTGCCTGAGGCCTTCTGCCAATTAGAGACTGATGTCAAGTGTGACTTCTTAATCTTGGGGCAGGGAAGAGAGTTCCCAGGCTTACTAAGCCCTTGCACAATTTTTTTTCAGGACCACTGGAAACTGCCCTGGTCCTTTGCTTTTAGCCAGCCTCCAGTGCTTGTCAGTCTTGCAAGTCGGATAAGGAAATTTCAGCTTGCAATCTGTTGTTTTCTTTCTCCTTCCATTACATAAAAGGAATTTTTATGATCTCTGCTCTGTTTTAAGAGCAACCGGAGGAAGATCTGGTGAGATGTAGAAGCAGGCGGGCACGCGCTGCAGAGCCAGTGCTCTGCACTCCTCCCCATTTTATACCTCATACTTATAACTGGACTTGACTGGAGTCAAATCCTTTACGTGCTGCTATTGATCTCTGGTACCCAGAGTAAAAACAGCCTTATGTTTTATGTGTTGCTCCTCTTTATAGAAGTGTGGGGTTTTTAAAGAGTTCTTGGAACTATGACAATCCTAAGGTTGCAACACTAGTAATTTAACGGCTATAGTCAACTCAATTAGCTGTGCAAGCTCTTCCAGTGCCATTCAAAGTAAAACATTGCAGCAGAGGTAGCCTGTAAGCTGGTGAAGGTATGGCGCTGTCCCAAATGATTCTCTTGCTGTGCAGTGTCAGTTCTTGATAAAAGCCCATTTCAGGAGTGTTGAATAAGTGGTTGGAGTGAATACCTCTGCATTAATCGTACAGAACAGATTCAGATGACAGTTCAGCCAGCGTGTTTCTTTGGATTGTTCTCTTTCTATTCCTCGGGTGAATCTCTTTGGAATGTGCTTGAGGGCAGGCCTTGCTTTTCCCTTGGTTTGGAGGGAGCTAAATATGTAAATGGTCCCTCTAATTCAAGCTGAAAATGGTTTTGAACTCACTAAACAACTTCAGCCCTTTGCCAGAGACAAAGATCCCCTGTACTCGCGCAGTTTCGGTTACAATTCTTACACAGTGCACAATGGAACAGAAGACTGGAATCAAAAGTGCAATTGTCATATTTCTAGAACAAATATTTTCCTTTTAAAAAATAACAAAACCAAACCCAAAACCAAAAAACCCCACAGAACGGGGAAAGATGGACCACATACGAAATTTAGAACAGGAGGAGGGCAAAAACAGGGTAAAGACTTGTTTTAAAAAAAGCTTTGGAGAACAGGCTGAAGAAAGCTGAGACTTGGGTTAAATTTGGACAGAAGTAGTTAGATGGTGCTGTTGAATGCATTTATAAAGGAGGATCCCTTGATCGTGACATCAAAAACCTCTGCACCGTTCTTGACTTCTTCCTTTGGAGAAGTTATAACCACACTTGCTAAGTGTTCAGGAACAAACACTTGTATCTTGTATCTTCTTCCTGAAAATTAACTGCAAGAGGATTTCCCTTGAAATAAGACATACTAAAACTTTGAAATGCAGTGATCTAGCTGGGTCTTACACACAGCAGCTGCTCTTCGCTGAGTGCAGAAAGAAGCATGCGGTGATGTCTTCACGAGTCTCGGGTCTCCAGTGCTGTTCCATTCCTCTGCAGGTGTCCTGGGCAAAGGAGACTTCATCCTGACTCTCCAGCTCTGATTTCAGAGGGCACTGCAGAGAGCAGTAAGGTTAGACAAGTGGATAAAGATGGTAACGCAACCTTTCTCTGATTTTTTTTTTTTTTCTTTCTCCCCCCCCCAGTGCATCTACTGAAGAGAACCCTGCAGAAATGTGAGAAGAATGGCTGGATGGAGCAAATTTCTGGAAAGGGCTTCAGTGGAACCTTTCAGCTTTGCTTCCCTTATTATCCTAGGTAAAGAGCTTGGCTGTAAAACGATGCTCAAGATAAGCGTCGCATAGGTCAGTCCGATAGCAGTGCTGAAGTTCATAGGCACCCTCCTATTTACAGGGAAGTTTGTGGAGGGTTTAATAACAGATGAACCACAACGTTGTCACCCTTACTCTAGATAATGACATTACTTGGGTGTCTGACTGTGAGTGGACATAAAGCTGACTTCGTTAGCAAGGGAAGCTTATAAGGGCGATAAAAATATTGGGCTCAGTATTCTCAGATACTCTGTCATGATGCTTTTTTTGCAGGATGGGGGGGCTATTTAAGTGTTCCCATGCTAAAACAAACTCACATGAGCAGGTAGAGTGTGGTGGTGTTCTTAATGCAGGGGTGCTCGTAAGGAGTAGGACCCAGCTGTTTGCCTTTCTTAATGCTGATATGGAGGAGAGGTGGGAGGAGGGAAGATGACCTAGATTAGCTTCTGTGAGACGAAAACAGCCTTTCTTCTCCTGCTGTGAGCATATATTGTGCTGGGCCACGTGGAGCCCAGGGATGGTGACTTAGTGTCCCGCAAAGAGCCAAATGGCAACGTAGTCACTGAAGTCTCTGCTTCCCACCTTCTTTTATTGCATGCATACAAAGTCCTCAGTGGCTTCAGCCTGCGTTCGGAGTCACTGAAGCCTGATCTTGTCCCTTTGTTGTCTGCCTTCCTGTGTTCGCAGAGAAGGAGCAATGAGGAGAGAAGCAGAGAAGGGGCAGCTTAGGGCTGGGGCATGACTTACAATCTGCCATTGCAGAGACTAAATAACGTTGGTTTTGGGTAGCGGCAGACACGGAAGTCTCGGGGGTATTTCTGGATTAGGCTCTCGAAGCTGTAACCTTACAGGAGGATGGGCAGCAGTGCCTGATGAAAGCCAGGGTTACCCAAGGCTTGCTGACCCTGGGGTCGTATCCTTAGAAGTAAGTCCCGCTCTGACAAGAACCCTCTTGTAGCCCAGATGTGCTCTACCCAGAGAAGCAGCAGGATGAGGACTCTGAGGAATCTGATGAGGAAGAAGAGGAGGAATCTGAGGAGGAAGAAGAATCTGAAGAGGAAGAGTCTGAGGAGGAAGAGCCACCACCAAAGAAGAGGTATGGTAGCATGGGAGATGAATGGGCTCCTTCGGATGAAATAAAAGTGACTGTCGCAGCTGTAGAGCACACAGGTTTGTCTCTTTGTGGTTATTTATCCACAAGGCTGTTGCTCAGAGGTGTTGGAAGAAGTTTCTAATTATGCCTTGCTCCAGAGATAACGATCTCCCCCATTCCATAATTTGCGGCTTACCGCTTTTTTCCTCCAAATGAGAAGAGAGCCTGTATTTATTCTTTGTATTGCCTTTAGTCTCCTAAAGTCGCCTGTTGTGCTTTACAGAAGCGTGATGTTTCACATGGGACTTTTTGTATTTATTAAGTGTTTCCTTAGGAAAACTTTCCCCTACAGTATTATTTGCAGTTCTGTAGCCAGATATGAAACCTGCCTTACTCGGAATGTGGATTTAAGATAAGTGTTGTTTGTTAAGTAGTAAAATTCCATTTAGAGAGGAGAGAGAGCGCTTAGGTCTCTTAATTATTCTGACAATTGACTTTGATTCGTGGTCGTTATTTGTGTGTTTATATGCCTAACAAAGGAGTTTGAAACCTCGCTGGCAGAGCACTGTGGGGATTGAGAAGTGCGTAGCGTGGCAAGATCCACCAGAGGAGTTCTTGCTCCTTGGGATTTAGCTAATGAAATGTACCGCTGCATAAAGGAACATCCGTGGCAGAGAACAAGGATGCCAAGATCTGCTTCGTTTATGCAAACTGACGACAGCAGCTCTGTTCTGGGTAGCATTTGCGCCTCCACTGACATCTTGTGCTGTCTCCCTCTCTCTGACAGGATGCAGAAGAGACCGCCTCCAAAATCACGGAGCAGGGCCCCTCCGATGAAGCGAAGAGAGTCCAAACCCAAGCCAAGAAAAACCCCTGCAGCCCGCCGGGGGAAAGCAAAGCCCCCTCCCAAGGTTAAAACCCCTGCTAAGAAAGCCAAACCAGCAGCCCCAGCCATCAAGAAACCCTCTGGTGGCAGCTCTTCCAAGAAACCAGCAGCCAGCGGGAGGAAGGAAGTGAAACCCTCTGCCAAGGGCAAATCCACCATGAGGAAATCTCTCCGGGCAAAAAAGTAAAATTTTTCCACTGTCAGGGAATCCCATGGTCAAATCCACAATCTTGTTTTATAAGTCAACGTGCATTTGTATTTTAGTTCTGATGCTTAAACACTTCTTTAATTTTTTTTTTTTTTTTTCTTGAATGGTGGGGAAAAAGCTGAAAACTAAATCAAACCAACCCGAGCATTTGTAAGATCTCAATGCTGTGCCTCGTGCCTGCCCCTCCCCTGGAACAAGTCATCTTTAGTTTCTGCAATAATTTTAGGACTTTTCTAGGACATATATAATCTGTACATTTTACGGTGTTCCTCTTGGGTTTGGGGGGGAGGGTTGGCTTTTAAAAATTCTTCAGAGAAGATCTTTATATCTTTAGACAGCAGGAACAGGATGATTGGGGGAATGTGATTCTTAATGAGAAGGTACAACGGCGGAAGAGTCCTCCCTAGATCCCCTGCATGACGAGGTCCTTAACGCTTCTGTGAAGAAGCAGTGTATATACGGCACTTGCACTGAGTCCTGGAGGCGCTTCTTTCTGCTCGGCCGTTAGAGCGACAGGCTGAGGGGACGGCGCGTTTGGCTCCTTCAGACCAGCGAGGTTTGTTTGACGGTGAGTCAGATCTTCAGTAAACGGAGGCTGCAGCGTCTGCTGATCGTCTGATGCCAGAGGGGCTCCAAAAGGGGTAGTTCTCGGTTAGGCGGGTGATTTGAATTAGTGTTTCCATGCCACATCTGTTACCTTAAAACCAAAATATATAAAAGTCTTCTTGAATCCAACTTTCAAATGTTTTTAAGAGATGAAGAGCCTGAGTTTTGTCACCTCTTGTTTACCCTTTTTTAAAGAAAAGTTGGAGAGCTATACAATTGCTAATGTAGAGATGTTGATAAGTGAAGAACATGCAGTTTGCTAAAATAAAATGAAACTAAATTCCAGGCCCGCTTTGTGTGTCCTTTCTCTTCCTCGCCACAGCTTTCTCCTCCTGGAAATCTAGAGAGGAGCGAATTACAGTCACCGTGGATTGCTGCAGAGGCAGATCTTTGTAAAAGTACGTTGCCAGTGTGAAAGAGTGGGGCTATTTTAGCCTGAGCCCCTGCCAAGCTCTGTAGTTGGACGGACTCGTGACCTTTTCCTTCCCCATTTTCTCTGGAGACAAAGGTGAGCAAGAAGAAAGCTCTGTTTGAACCTCTCGCTGCTCTTCTTTCCCTCCGCCCCCAGTCAGTGGCCAGCGGGGACAAAAAAGACCGGCTGAAATCTTCCCCTTTCTGCCCTGCTCGGCAGAGCAGCGCCTGCGTTCCGAACACGCTCCGCCACGTCTCCACCTCTCCCCTGGACAGGGCAACGCCGGTGACTCGAATGTGACCTGACAGTCTCTTTGTTTAACGCGCTTTTGGAAAGAGCTTTGCACGTACAGTGCTGAGAGGAGTGGAAGTACCTCTGAAATAAAATGCAAAAAAGGAGAAAATAGCCTCATTGAATTTATTCTTTTCAGTTGCCATCCCAGTGTGCTACCTCTAACAACTGGGAGTTTAAAAAATTCTTCCAGAAAAGCCCTAAATTGTTCCCAGCCCTGTGACGAGGGTGCGAACAGCAGGTTTAGCGAAAATCACAGCTGATAGGAAAGTGGGAGAGTGAAAGCCCCGATCAAAGAGTAATCCGCAGGGATGTAAAGCAATTAGAAACATTAGTTAATGGCTCTTTCCTAGGGCTACTTGTACCGAAACAGTGGGTTTTGTCAGCATTTTCCTCCAGGCAGGTGCTACGGTGAGCCAAATTTGAGTAACAGCTTCTCTCATCCATAGGATATTTATGGGGACGAGGAGTCCTCGCCCAGCTGCGGGGCGTTTTGCGACCTCCTCCTTCCCAATAACATTCCCACACCAACAACCCCCCGGATATTTGTTAAAACACTGGTCTGGGTAACACCGATTTTTCCGCACGTGAGCACGGCTTTATTTTGCTGCGAGGCACCTCGAATGAGAGCGTC